GCATGGGAACCAGAAACCCTTTCCACAGGCCCGCCTTTGGGTCCGGAAATTGTCCAGATTTTTTGAAAATTCGCTCCTTTCTTGACTCACAAAGGGCTTCGAGTGCTTGCACATTTGTGCGGGTCATCCTTGCAGGGGCCATGCACTGCACGTGCCTACCGCTCTCGTGTCAGGCTGCACATGCGAATGCACAATAATCAACAGGAGTGCTGGGGCAAATTTACACTAACATGCCCCCTCAGCTCTTGGATCGTGATCCATGAGCTGGCTCACCTGTGTCGACGCCTAGGCTTCTGTTCAAAGTAGCCGCGGTTCCGGACTGAAAGGGTGTCGTGGTCCCCACGGCAGCACTGCTCACACGACAAAAGTCCCCTCTCAAGGGCTTGCTGTACAGTGCTATCTCTGAAGCTCCGGGCCGCCCTCCGAAACGACGAGCAAGTAGCCACATGGTACCCGTACCCCCAGTTTGGCGCATACCTCACGATCCTGCCGAGGTTGAGGCCAGTGGGGTCCAACACGCCACGCGTCGTCCGAAGGTACCCAGGTGGAACAGGTGGAGGCTCGTGAGAGGACGTGGCTCCCGAAGGCCGTGCCTCAGCTTCTGGTGCCACTCCCAAAAGAGGCAGCACATTCTCCTCCATCCACGCGTTCATGCGGTTCACCACCTCGGGGTCAAGTGGAGCTTCGCGTTGGTGTCCTCGGCCGGTCTCGCCTTGCTCGGTGCCCCTGCGTCCTTGATCGATCTCGCCTTGCTCGGTGTCCCTGCGTCCTTGGCCGGTCTCGCCCTGCTCGGTGTCCCTGTGTCCTTGGTCGCTCTCGCTGCTCTCGGTGTCCTCGATGTCCTCGGTGTCCTCGTTGTCCTTGTCGTTCTTGTTGTTCTTGTTGTTCTTGGGCTCGTTGGTCTGCGCCGGCCCAGTTTCACCGCAACCTGGCTCAAGCCCTGCATTGGGCCAGCGCCCGATTTGGAGGGTCATCCTCCACTGAACGCCGTTGAGGTAGCCGAGAAACGCCACCGCCAGGAGCACGAGGGCCACCAAGAGGACAGTGAAACCCGTAGGGTGCTCCTCGTAGAAGGTGCCGAGCAGGTCCAGGCAGAAGAGCAGGTAGACACTCGCGTCCTCATAGCCTTCATGGCTGCAACCTTGCAGGGTGCTAGCCATCAGCAGCTGCACCAGGTGAAGGGTCTTGGCATTCACCCCCTTGGTCTTGTAGAGCTCGGCTTGCAGCTCCTCCTTCCCGACCTTGTTGCCACCATCGTCCACCATGCCAGCCACGGCGCACAACATGCGCAGTCTGTTGGCTGACAGGATTTTCGTGCCCATGTCCGTCGGGTTGAGGGCTGTGCCGATGGCTGCCACACGCAGCTCCTTCCTGTGTACCCATTGTTGTATCCAGAGGCTTGAGGTCTGGAGGTGCTTCACTCGGCCCACGCCGAGTCTGCTCGCTATTGCCCGGGCCACTGAAGAGTCGCTCCTGGCCACGTGGTCGGCACTGGCGCAGGTTAAGAACTCCCACGCCTTGTGAATGAGGATGCTCTCCCCAACCGTCTGCGTCAGCGCCACCAGCTCAGCCTCACCAGAGCTGAGCGTAACCACTTTTTGGCTGCGCACGAAGGAGAACATCAAGCAGCGGTCGATGTACACGTGGCCGCTCGACAGGCTCTTGCAGGTGCTGGTTGTAGGTGTCGTGGGCCGCAAAGTTCATGATCGATGCCCCCTTGGCCGCCTTGAGGTTCACACCGTGGCCCTCCGTCGCCTTCATAAAGCCGGCCAGGTGCTTGAGCACGCGAAGTGCCCCCGAGGAACTGGATAACCACCTGCACATCTGGGCGCTCGGCGGCTATATAAAGAAGTTTCCCCACCACTGTTCTGAAAAGGGTGCCGTCGGTGGGGCCGAGCGCCTTGCTGTTGTCGACCATGAACAGGTCGCCCACGGGCCCAGGGGTGTTCCTCAGCCGCGGCTCGCCCAACAGGTTGTAGATGTCCAGGTAGAAGTGGGCCGCCGCACGCACGGTGATGCTGCCATCGGCCTCGATGCGAAACCTGCGCTTGAGGAACTCGAACTCGTCCCCCGGGAAGAAAGGGCCATTCACCTTGATGGTGTACTTCTCGCGGAGGTTCGCAAGCATTCACAGGCTCCTCGTCGCCAGTCAGCATGGCGTCGTCAACGTGCACCTGGGCCGCCTTTCTCTCCTTGGGTGAGGTAGCTCGGTACAAGGTGGGCACCTCGATCATCGCCTCTAGGCCCTGTGCCTCCAAATCCACATTCAAATGAAGGAACCACTCCTGCGCCCCCCGGCACTGTCCTGGCAGTATTCTGCCGAGCTTCCACCTCTTCGGACCATAGCGTCGGGCATAGGAGAGCGGGGCGTCCACCACCACCGGTGCGTCCTTGGGCTGCTCCACGTTGAGGTAGGCGTCCTCCACGTCGCACACCCAGATCGGTGTGGCCCAGGTTTGCGCCAAAACAACAATGTGCCGAAGAAGGGACCCAATGGAGGCCGGAGGGAACGTGTCCTCAGCCTCCATGTCAGTGGCCCACCTGTATTGCCTCGCCACCAGCCTTGCCTTCTCCACCACGTGCCCTTGTCGCCTTTCCAAATCGTGGCAAAAGTGGTGCTTAGGACCTCGGCCTCCTCTCCGGGCACCGGCTCCACCAGAACGCCCATCTGAATCAGGCGCTCGATTTCCTCCACCTCTGCCTGGTCGTCGTAGTCCCGGAGCACGTGGGCTTCAAGTACGGGAGGCTGGTCGGCGTCGCCTGTCACGATGTGCTTGTCGTGCTGGTCGTTGCCCTCGAGGTCCTCCACGGCCATGTGAGCCACGTCGCCCTCGGGCACAGCAAGGGTCCGAACTGTGTACCACTCTGCGTCCACCGTCTCGACCCTGCGAATGCTCATGCTCATGGCCTGGTTGCTGTCGTC